TTGAAGGGGGTCTGAATACTTTCCGTACCCACTGTATATATACACGTGTGTGTGTATATATATATATTTTTTCTCTTGTCCATATAATAGAAGTCAATGGAAACCAAAACTGTTAGGGTCCCAACATTCTTCAAAACATGTTCTTCTGTGTCCCGCATAAGCAGCGAAGTCATACACATTTGTAACAACAAATCATAATCACAGAATTGACATTTTTGGTTGAACTATCCCTTTAATGAAGCAACCACAAAGAATTTCAGGATTCATTGCCTAGACAATTTTTATTTTTATTTTTTTTGACGGACTGTCCCTTTAAGTATGGGTTGTAAATAGACAACCTGTTATTCACTGGACATAAGAAATTTGTCTATATCACAACAAACATAAGAAGAGCTGTTTATATCACAACAAAGCTCATCTACATTTTTTCTAAACGTTGTAAAGGTTCACTAATAAAACATCTTTAAAATAAAAAAATATATATATTTTTAAATCAAATAGTTAACCCTTTAATGCGCAAATTATTAAAATGACATTTTTCTGGTTACAGGCTTTTTTCTTTTTCTTACATGCTTTTATTGCACATTTGTCCACTTCAAAAGAAGACAGAAAAAATGATAAATGATGCATCACTTGTCAGCCATTTAAAAGTGATTTTGTCCCAAAATAATAATAATTATGGTTAAGTGTCAAATGGTGTGGGCTGAAATCGGATTATGGACGCTCATTCTTACACAGTCTAATAACCAATAAACGCTTATAAACAGATTCTGAATGCGATTTATAAATGCCTATATATGATTTAACGTAAAAAGATAGTCAGATGAGCAGAATGACTTACACAGGTCTCCTGTCCTTGAATTGAGGGAAGCAAACACGTTCTTGTCAGTTGCCACCAGGAGCTTTTTAGACGCTTGAGAATGAGTGTCAAACAAGGCAAAACGCACCTTGCCGATAAACTGTTGCCTCCTGAAAGAAATCGCAGGTAGTTTAGAGTGATGTTAAGACATGAAGACTGACCAGCCCGGTGTAACGTTAGCTGACATCAGTCCGCAGCCTGCTTAAAGTACCGGCTGTTTTTACAGTCGCAGAAATCCCACAATGGATTATATGCCAAACCAACACACAGCTATAAATTCCGTTTACATACCAATCAAACTTTCCAACTTGGTCTTCAAATACCGCCGATACAGTATATAATAAAGACACAGCTATTGCTAATCTTACTACAAGCCAAGCCATTGCTGCAGAGGAACGACTCCCACAATGCTCTGCGGTAAAGGACCCAAATAGCCAACCTTTGATAAAACAATAAAAATGTATTTAGGCATTCTTTCCATCCTATAAGAGGTTAGAATTTAGTTTAGTTCTTGATATACAAAAATAGTTTTAAAAATGTAATTAAATGTATCGGTGTTAACTGCTGCTCAACATATTAACATCAGGCATTCGCTTGAGATGCCAATAGATTGGATTTAAAATGCTTCTTAAAGGGTCATTTACAATATACATGAACTAATATAATGATATGAAAGCTGTTATAACATATGAGCGATAATATAAATTGCTAATAAAAGATCGAAAATAACTTGATATATCTGAATAAGTTGTGTCTCAAAGTTCTTGAACTTTTATTTTTAGGAAAATTATTAAATAAATTATGAAAATATTAATTATTTCGCAATATAAAATGTAAATACAGATGCAATCGTAATACACGTTGGAACCTTTTGCACGTGTCTGTCTGTAGACCATTTAGCCTATGTTGTATTGATGGATTTCTATGTGAATCAACATGGATACAGGGCGTGCTTTTTTTTTTTTTTTTTTAAATGTTCTGTGACATGCCCATCTAAATATGATTTTGTCCTGCTTTAAAATATTTGTGTGTTTTTATCATTTTCATTTTGAATGGTCTAGTGTTACTCTGTAGTGCAGTTTAGGCCATTAGGTGGCAGCACAATCTAAAGACAATTTCAAACATTTCGTTTGTATCTACGCAGGTGTTCAATGTTTGCTACAGCTCAAACGCTGTTGTTTTATTACTAAACTCATTGCAAAAGCAATTGTAACCCAAATCGATTTACCTCTAACGACTACGTTATGTTTAAATATCTGGGTTTTGACAGTATTTTAGCATGTTCACTGAACACGTTTGCAGTGCAATGCAACTGAGAAAAAACAGAATTAATTAAAATATTTTTAGGGCCAAGGAAACGCTGCTCATCATTAACCCATAGGTAACCTTCTCTAAAATATCACTCGTATGTCCAAGTCTGCCCTATCCATGCAACACGTTACTGTAAATGCTTTTAGTAAACACTCGGTAGGACTGCAGTACCATATATGCCGTTCCTTCTCAGCTGTTTGCTGGCTTCCAGATGAAACAGCCTGAACACACTCAGTTTAATCTGAATGGAAAAGTGTTGTGAGGCTTTTTGACATGGATATACACGCGGTGATGTTATTATTCATGCTTACAGAGATCCGTTCATCGTGCTGTCATCAAGCTCTGCAGCCTTTTATGTAAGTAGCATAAAAATAAATTACATTTTAGTCATGATTTTATTATTTTAATGTTGCAAATTTATTGACAGCATGAAAATTGGATTGTATGCACAAATCTGTTTCTTTTCTTGCATGAAACGTTTGTTACGAATATGAATTAATAAAAAAAAAAAATCAAATTTAAGCATCTTTTTTTTCTTACAGAATTATGTTTTAAGTATAAAGTACTTTTGATATAGTGTATACTATTATACTATATAATATAGTATATAAAAATGTACAAAATGTTAAATTACAAGTTTTATTAAGCAAATCAGTATTTCTTATGTTCAGATATATGCAGTAAATGTCACTATTAAAATGTAATTTATTATTATTATTATTATATTAATTACAAATCAATTTCCAGTTATTCTGTTCTAAAAGACTTCAAAACAGAGTTGTTGATGTAAGAGCTGCATTATGCACTTGAAATGGAAAGTAATTCTTTCATTCTTCTTTGTTCAGGCCGAATGTCTGCTCAGAAAAAGAGAGAATCATCACAGCTGAGAAAAAGCCATGTGTACAGGCTTTTACACGTATGGTGAAGGTTTGGAGGCAAGGATGCACAGGTCATGCTTGGTGTATGGACTATGAAAGGAGGTACATATTAATTTGACTTAAAGATCTAGTTAGATTGAATACAGTTACAACAAAAGAAATGAAATATTTTAAAAGTTGGCACTAGATTTTACATGTAGTAAAGAGTCCCTCTGTCCTGATTCACTATCAATAGTCCTTTTTACCCCGACAGCCATTTCTCAATGGTACACCTTTCAGTGCCAGCCAACTTCTTGCCGCTTTTGAGAATGGGCAGAGGGCTAGAGAAAGACAGCAGTTAGAAACTGATCCTGTTGTTGAGAGACGATGGTTATTAAGGGTCTCAGATGCTTTGGGAATCAAAAGGAAGCTCAAGACTCTCAGAGCCATCATCCCCCTTGGCAATTATGGAAGATCATTGAATAGCCCTCATTAAACAGACACTGGGCTTGCTAAAATTGCCATTGCACTGAACAAATGCTGAACTAATTGGGGTTTAGAAGTCTATTATTACTCGGCTCTCTGAAATACTTAATTCTGATTGGCCAATCGTAAGAATCCATGCTATTTGTCTCAAATTGTGCTGAACTCGTTTGATGATAGTAATCATATTTTTATCACTTTGTAGGACTGCCTACTACATAAGCTACAGGCAGGTCTACAGACAAGATTTTAAGACTACATACAAATGCTGTCGTGGATGGTCCCAGTTCAATGCAGAGGCAGGCTGCCTCTATCGTAAGTATTTCCACTGTCAGGTCTGTCCTATATCTCATCAGACATCCAAATGACATGAAAAACAAACATATAGGCCCTAAACTTTAAGTGTAGATTTGTAGGGTTGAGGTTAATTATTCATAAACATCATTCACTGAAGGATTGTGTAGTGAATGGCTTACGTGATTAATGAGATTCCTGTTCTTCTCTGGAGATTCCATGAGAGGGATTCTGGCTTTGTTGCTGTTGTCAATCATGAACAGAAACTTTTGATCAGATGCTCATTTTGGGGACCAGCAACATTTCAATAGACTCTTTATCTTTGTTCAGGATGGTTCAGGATTGTTGTTTGGGCACAATGGAACTGTATATTCTCTAAATATCAAATAGTAAATCACAGGATTTAGTCAGTGTTGTGTTGAAATCTATGAGAATAATCCAAAAGATGATGTTTTGAATGGTTAGCCTTAGCCCACATTGCTTAATCTCTTTAGGGTCTCTTACTACTGTCACTTCTGCTTTATTTTGTGGAGTGGTTTGCCCTTGATGACATGGCGTAGCATGTATTTGTATTTTTAGAAATGACATGGCAGCCAGTTCATCGCAGCCTAAACATGTTTTAATGCTTAATGGCCATAAAGAGGCAGAGCATAGCTTCTCATCAATGGCTTTGTAAGAATCTGGAAGGCTTAGTGACCTCTTCTTGCAGTGAGCTAGGACACAATGAACCTTTGTGATCATCAAAAGACAGCTGTAGGTGGAGGACATTTACTGTAGCTTTCGGTGCAATGAGTTTGGAGAGCATCTCAGGGTAAATCACTGTTGTTGTTTTTTTTTGGATCCCCCATAGATCTTAATTCTACAATAATATCCTATTACATGAATCCCATAATTAGATTATGAGCGTGAATTGCTCGTGCTAAGCTTAGCCTCTGTCAATTCAATTCAATTCAAGTTTATTTGTACAGCGCTTTTCACGATACAAATCATTGCAAAGCAACTTTACAGCAAATTAAGTTTCTACAATATTTAGTGGTAGCTTATCAGTGGTGACTGTCAGTCAATGTACATATGGCAGAAATGTACGGAAAAATCAATTAAAGACATAATCAAACAGACGATGAACACTATTAACAGCAATTATTATATGATGCAATCAAACTTATAGCAAAATGTGGTAGTTCTGTAAGTTGTTTCAGGGTTGGCATCATGATGTCAGTAGTTTAATAATCAACAGTTGTAGTCCTAATACATGTAAGTCTCTTTATAATTTGGCATTTAATATCATACAAAGATATATGCTGTTTTCTTCTTTTTTGAGTTACATCTGTCAGATAGAAGCGGTATTTAAAAAATAAATGCCTAGAGCAGTTTTAATATCAAATAAAGATGATATGGTCTTTTTGCTTTCTGGATCTTCAGTTAGAAAGAAATGAACAGGCTGTCAAATGGACACAATATGAATTCATACACTCTAAAAAATGCTGGGTTGTTTCAACCCAACTTTGGGTCAAATATGGACTAACCCAACCGTTGGGTTAAATTATTACATTACATTTTTAACCCAAAAGTTGGGTTAGTCCATATTTGACCCAAAGTTGGGTTGAAACAAACCAGCATTTTTTTAGAGTGTTGCTGAATAAAAGTATGAATTTCTTAAAGCGTCATAAAAGAGCTACTGTAAAACATTCAAATGGTAGTGTTAATAATATGCCAATAAACTGCAATAAATCACATATACATTTCATTTAGCTTTTGAACACAAAAATGCCAAAGTTGGGTTGAAACAACCCAGCATTTTTTAGAGTGTAGTATTACTTTATTTATTCCTTTTATTGATTTATTTACTTATTTAATATGACAGTCATCAAACTAAAACTACATTTTGGGGTGTAATTCTATTTCTTTTCTATTTTTTTCATTTGATTCTCTCATTTGCTGTAACTGATTTAGCAGCTGAATTGCCATAACAAACAGAATATCATAAGTGATTTGTCATTATCAGTGCCTGGTGAAATAAAACAAATAATGAATAATTTGATCATGTTGAACCAACTGTCAATATTTTCTGTGAAGATGTATTTTCATGTGTTAAATTTCCCCGTAGAACAATTTGCCTTGACTGTCTGCTTCTAAATCTCTTTTCTGCTCCAGCTCTCTGCACTTACGGTGTCTGCTTTAATGGGGCTGTGTGTACAGGGCACTTGAATCAACTGTGTGACTGCCCCGCAGGATTCAATGGATCCAGCTGTCAGTATGATGAGCACACAAGTTATCTGAGCTTTGAACTAAAGCTTTATCTCATTCTTATAGCACTCGGTGAATGTCAGTTGGCTTGTGTGATGAATTTTAACAGACTGTGTTCTATCAGTGTCATGATAACACTTAAATTAAAGGCCGTTTTTCTTCCTTCCTATGATACTGCTGAGAGAGAATTAGCATGTCATGAGTGCATTTTTCTATGCACCCCCAATCCCTGTATCAGAATATATGTTGTCCTCCCGAAGGGCTTCTCACTTTCATTACTGCATCCTCTGGACCTCTCTGTCAGTTCATTCTGCTTTACTCATTTTGTTCATCAGCACTTCCACTACAATCGTATAGAACAGCCTCCAGGTGCATCAGTAGAACATAACCACTCTAAGGTCACAGCAGGGCTGATAGGGCAGTTAAATCCCTTTCCTTACACTGCAGGATCAGTGTTTCCTTATGGCATTTCTGTGAAAGTGAGTGTGAGAATACAGTTCTGGAGGAGAGTCTGGCTTCTCTAAGTGACTGTGATTTAGAGCAGATCTCTGGAGGCTTTGGGGGTCCTTCTGCACAGCTGCATTGTCTGTGCGGGTGGGAAATTCATGCAGGTTACCAAAGACCTTCTGGCTGCTGCAGAAATTGCTAGAAAATAGGCAATGTAGAGCATGGCGTGTGATTTGTGTTTCAGACAAAACTACGGGGGTGTTAGATGCTGTAACCTGTAAAAATGTGATTTAGTCTCACAACAAATATTCAAAGATCTGCTCAAAAGGTCTTGGTTTTGTAGAGTCACTAACATTTTAGGGAATCAGTTTGTTCAAATAAATGAATTTATTAAAAAGTCACTGATTAGATTACTGCTCTTAGTTGCAAAGTTTTTAACTCAGTTTTATAAACGAAGGTGTATCCTATTATTTCACGTCACACTTATATGTTTAATAAAAAAAAAAAAACTATTTTGCTTGTCTTAGCTTTTTTTCTGGTTTATCTGTTCTTCTATTGGTTTTTGTGTTTAAAAAGTTATGGCCCCCTTAAGTAGCCTCAGTGTTGTTATTGTTTGGCAGTGTGTAGTGTTGCTAACTACTTTTTGTCAAAAGAACAGGTTGACTTCATCGTCTTCAAATCATTTCATTGTAGCTTAGCATTCTACAATAATAAAGCAGCTTTCCATCACTGCAGTGCCTAGCAAATTGGCAGGTTGTAACACATTTAATCAGTTAATTTATAATTTTCTTAGACTTGTTTTGATAGAGGCTTTGATAAAAAAGGTAGTCAGCACCCTGAACTGTGATGTTCTCCTGTGACACCATCAAAAGTGGGCACTGGGCAGTGATAAAAGTTTGTGTTGTAAAGTAAGTATAGCTGGCAGAGCCCACAGGACGAAAGCCAACTCTGTGCAGACACATCCTGCCGGAAGAGTTTTATAATACTGGGTGAGAAGTGTCTCACAGACATAACGTTAACTACTGCTGACAGGAAAAAGATTATCCTGCTGATAATTATGAACTCTTTTAAAAAGAAACATACTAGATTAAATACTAGAACAATGATTAACTACTACAACAGATTAATTCAAGGCAAGCTATTTGTTTTTTTTTTGTAGAAAGGCTTAATCTACTTGGAAAGTTCTCCTTAATTTAATTAAGCTCCACTAAAACTCCTGTTGTTTTCAGCTTGTGAAAATGTGAAAAATTGTGAAAAAGATTTGATGTGGTTTTAGGAAAGCTCCCCAAAGAAACAATGGAATCGCAAAAATGTTGGATTGTTTGTTGAGATATGTATGGTCTATATCACAGAAATGCAATTCCATTTTTATTGTTTAAACACTGTCTCACAGTTTCCATCTTGCCAGTATTCCATTGTTTCCAAAGGGACTCTATGTGTTATTTGCAAAGCTAACTTAAGATTATTTTCTCTGAAATATGAGAGGAAAGCCAGAGAGTTTCTAAAGAAATCACTCAGAGTTCTGAAAAAATCCAAGAATAACAACAGGATGCTTTCTGAATTTGTTTTTGGTGGCAATACCTGCAGTTATAACAGGGTCGGTGAGAGTGTGATGTGAGATGATTGACATGATTCTGACTTCTCAGTTGTGCTACATTAGTAGCCATGAATGGTGATAATTGACAGTATGTTGCTTTTTTAAAATTTTATATCCTCTAAGTAATTGTAAGATATTTATTTTCCTTGTTTGATGCATGATTACTATAAATAATTCTTCAATTTTCTTCAAGACCATTGAAAATTTGAATTATTCTCTTCTGGCCTCCTCTGCCCTTAGTCAGAGTCTTTTTAGTAAAATGATTGTATTGGACACACAAACCTCAGCAGGTGGTCTGTCTTCCTCTCTAGATCTGCTGCCTTGTGAAGATTGCGTGTGATGCAGCCCAAGAGGCTACAGGACTTGTAGTTATGGATGTGCTGTTACTAACCCCTTTTGTCTCATGGGTCTGATAGAATGACTCTCATTCCTGTAGTCAAACGAAGTGTTTGATCGGCTGTCCCTTTATGACACTCACATCATTGAGCAGTCCTTTTATTAAACCAACCAGAGATGTGACCTCAGAGCTCACGAAGCCCTGATAGTGATCGCTGACTGTAAGAACAAATGTTTGGAAGATCAAATCTGAGGGTTTAGTCGCAGCACAGCTGCGGTATTCTATCACACTCCTCAGGCATCGGTCACACCACATGTATCAGACTGGAGGAAACTTTTTGGCTGAACGTCAGTGAGAATCATCAACAACAGGGCAAAAGAAAATCCCCAAATC